TTTCCCAGACATGGCATATTCGTCATTATAGTTTTGGGCTAATCTCGTCAGTTATCGTCAGTGACTGAGGGTGTGATGTAAGTGTACTGTATGTTCCCATGATCCCTACTATGGTGATCCACTTACAGTTGCTGGCGATCTACAGCCCGTCTGTATTGTGTATTGTTGTGTATAGTAATATCTTTTTATTGTTACATACTGATCTTTACAGTAAATCTGTGATAATCCAGTGATTTAACGGTTGTTTGATCACATTCATGTGTTTCGGATTATTATGTATGCTTTCATAATCATGACATGGTTGAAATATCAATTTTAGCTCGCTCATTACTCTGACGACCCTTGTAAATCAGGGTTAGAATTGTCGTAAGAGGTGACTAGCGGGGTCGGGTAGTCACGCTCACTGACTTGGTTGACACATCTCATCGTATCCCAGTTGCGCGGACCGATGCTCATGCTGTTGATGGATTGTCTGATCCTGACTCGATTATTTACAGGCCGCCGCCAAATGGCTGGAATAACTATCCATCCATCAACCATCCATCCATCCAATCAACCAATTCTCTCACGATCCGGCGTGCTTGCTTTTGAGATTGTAGGTGCTCTTTCAGACATAATGGGTATTTCGCACTATATATTGTGATTCAGGTACCCGTATTGTGATACGCATTGCGATATACTGGGAACTTAAGTGTTTGACAGTCAGTGACACTAATTGTGCATTTCAATCCCTTTTGCTACATTATAAACCCCCAAACATAAATGGTTCTGATAACAGCAATCTCAAATTAGGTTGCATAGTCATGGCTTCTATTTTTTTTCATGCAATCTATAGTATTACAGTATGTAGTTTTGTCATTGAATGACGTAGGAAACTTTTATTGTGAATGAAAATATGGGTACATTTAATTTAAAACATTTATATATGTTCTTTACCCAATATACCGGTTCTCAGATTTTTTTTTATTGTAATGCGTATCGTTTGCATAGCGTATATAGGAGATAAACATCATGTGTTGGCTAATTTTCCGGGTGTTATTGAGTATTTGAAGCACGGGAATTCATATTCCCATGCTTCAAATACTCAATAACACCCGGAAATTGGCCAACACATGATGTTTATCGACATTGTAAACACAAAAGGAAGCCAAAAGGTCCACACACGTTTTTCTGTCTGCACTCATTGACATCGAGTACGGGTACAGCAGTGAAATGTCATCAGCCGGCCATTTCGGCTGTCTCCCATGGTGGCATTTGGAACTGCTCATTTGTGACGTCATTCGGACTTTACGTCACAATATGATTTTAATGACGTCATCACAGCTGACGACGTAACAATACAATGGTGTGAGCGATGTTTGTATGTATTAATACACAGCGAATTTCCGGGAATCGAATACCATTTGATCAAGTTTTTCAACCAATCAGATTAAAGAACACAGTGACTTTTGGTTTACAATGCGATATACCGGTAGACCGGTAATGCCGTGCAGTCCTACACAAAGTCATGTGAACATAACTGGGTGAGGCTTGGCTATGCTCGACGTGAGTCTTGATCCAGACGAGCACGATGGCTGATGTTATACCAAGTCACCAATGTGTGTGTTGGCGGATAATACATCCAGTCAACTTAGTTTCTAGCCCGTGACGTCATCAGCTGTGTGACATCACTGTCATTCGACATATATGGCATCACATCAGCTGAGCGAATCTTGGCTCAGTCTACGGTCACAGAGTGCAGCGACGTTGTGTCCGTTTCATATAAGCTATATAAACAAGATATTCACAGAAAATATTAAAATGGGCGATGTTTACGTCCTAATCACACATCGACTATATGTACACGCAATTAATCCGGTATAAACACAAGGGGACATAACTCCGCTATGCTCAACACTAGGTTATTGTATGTTCAGAATTTGCTGGGGATCCAGACACTGTATTTTCGTGAAGTCTTGTTCACGGTGAACCAAACTATTCCAATCCAAAGATCCACACAGTAACCTGGTACGTTTTGGTAATGCCGCCATACGTAAATAAGTTCTTAGATTTATATATTCTCCTGTTTGTGTAGATGTATTTTGACCAATTTTGCACCATTATTAACAGAATACTAGCCGCATGTCCGAGGGTAATGAGATTACTGAAAATATTACTTTTGAGTTAACGCCATGGCTTGTTTTATGTAGTTTGCGACGTTGGTATGTTATGCGCATCGATAGGTGTCGCTGTTTTAGTGACAATATATGTTAACGCAGTGCTTTGAGCTTGCGAGACGATAGTTCACTGTTCAAACAGTAATTGTCAACTCTAAATGTGACGATCAATGCGAAAAATAGCTTTTAAGATATGGTTCATCTACTCAGATGAAAAATAGCTTTTAAAATATGGTATATCTACTCAGATGAAAAATAGCTTTTAAGTTATGGTATATCTACTCAGATGTACGGAGCATGGTACGTAAACGGCTTACCTGACCATCGGGCTGGCTAGCTGTAACTGTAGACCGTCCGTCAGAAATCTAGCTCGCCTCGGGCGGTCGGACGAGCCTCATTTCGTACACTGTGATTAATCTATATCTCACCTAATCTCCAATAATTGTGTAAAAGGTCTCTGTTTCTCTGTCAGAATTTAACGCTCTTTAGACAGAACAAAAAATGACTGATTCTACCACTATATGCCCTGAGTAGATAAACAATCGGATGGTTTGACTGTGTATCGTAATATTAATATAGGATTTGGTACCAATTTAAGGCAAATAAAAAAAGTACTTCAAAGCACATGAACATATTTCTTTGGATAAGTATTTTCTTTGTTTATGATTATGTGGCTATTTCTCTTAATAAATTGCAGGGACAGATGAAAAAACATAGTTCTATCAGAATAATGATTTCCAACGTAGTACATTACATGGTTTATATTTTTTTTTACAATGTTCGTAGAAATATAGTTACAGTTTGATATTCTGCCATAACAATGATTTTCGAATAGCAATTGATTATATTATCTAACACAATGAGAGGGATTCGTAAAACGTTTGTGACAAACGCGCACCTGGCCAAACATTGCACATAATTGAACAGGACAATTTCTTTACAATGTGTGCATATACATTTAATAAAATTTTAAAAAATCATTTTTATTAATATTATCAGTTTATAAGGTTATTTATAAGGTTAAACTAAATTGCTGTTCATGAACCTGTTCATATGAAACTGTAATATTGACCCCAGTACGAAAGTATATCTTGCAGTTATGCCTACGTTTCATCTTCTTACACGTGTGTAAAAGTTTAAAATATTGTGTACTACAATAATTGTGTCAGTTTCAAACAAACGAAAACTTTCAACGAGTACAAACACGTACAGCCTTCATGGATCCACATATGATATGAATTTGAGAAATATTAAACATAGATAATGAAATAAATTACATGAAAAAATATCTGAGCTATACGCAAAATGTACATTATAACACTGAAAGTGTAATTGGCAGGATATGATGATTGTGTTTATTGCTGTTCAACCGAGCTTCACCTCAAAGAAATGACCAAATGTGTACAACAATGTTGACGTATGACATCACTACCGACGACGGATTTCTTACAAATTTGCGGCTTCGCTGACATCGGTACGCCGGATTTTGAGAGGGATCTTCCCCTGATGTAGGGAACGTTTGTTCATACACATGCCATGTAAGTAATCAGAAACATTCTGACTGTCTGCATATGGATATCTGTTTTCATTGCAAATAAGAGAAGAAGTCAGAAATGCAGATAATTACCGTTTTCGTCATGCGTTTTGTGTCAGTCATGGCGTCACGCTGCACGGGAACTTTGACAATTTCGTAGGAATTTATCAAATCGCTGTAGTGCATATGATACTCTTTCCATATATTCTAAAAGTATTGAGCCAATGCATGCAACGAGTAGACGAATGGATGTCTGATTTATTTAGAAAATGTTGCGCTGTGTGTCAAAAAGGCGACATAAATTTACGAAGTACATTGTTTTGAAAGGTCATTATCAGATTATTTGCCTTGTCTAAGATGATTGTGGATGGTATCAAGAAGCAGGAAATTTCCCACAGAATTCAAAACTGAAGTGTATTTGTGTGCGTGATATATGTCGAGGGTTGAAGAGGAAGGACATCTGATAGATGACACGAAGTCTGAATTAGTCCTCGGCAATTTGTATGTATCTTCAAACACACAAGAAACAACAATATAAATCCCCAACACCTCACACACAAAAAGAACCCAACAAAAACAAACAACACCCCTCCCCCATAAAATAAAAAAGAAAGAGTGAGTGAGTTAGTGAGTTTGGTTTTACGCCGCTTTTAGCAATATTCAATTAATATCACGACGGGGGACATCAGAAATGGGCTTCACATTGTAAGCATATGGGGTATCGAACCCGGGTTTTCGGCGTGACGAGCGAACGCTTTAACCACTAGGCTACCCTACCGCCCCCCAAAAGAATGAAGAAGATAAATAGCCAAAATAACCCAAACAAACAAAAACACCAACAAACTAAAGCAAAGAAAACAAACAAACAGAAAAACAGTATTATGAGATATTGACACTACGTGAACGACATGTCAGCGTCAGTAACAACATCACCGCCTACACCAACACAGCACTGCCTTCACTGACCACCATGCGACTCTAGAAGATCCACTAGTCGCTTATGTCTCCATCTTGTCGCATAGTAGCTCGCTGTCCTTCCATCCTTGTTCTTGGCGTTGATGTCCACCACATTCAGGGAAAGGACAAACGCCGCCGTCCAAACATCTCCTGTCCGACAGGCCAAGTGAAGGGTGTTATCACCGCCATCGTCCACCAGAGACACATTAGCGCCTTCCCTCACAATAAGCTCCACCACATCTCTGTGTCGATACCAAGCTGCCTCCATCACTGGTGTCCTGCTATATATACCCTCCTCTACTGTTGACGTCCAACACGTTCAGAGACAGGACCAGCTCTACCGTTCCCACATCTCATCCCCGACAGGCGAAGTAAAGAAGACTGTTACCGCCATCGTCCACAAGTGACACATCGACCCTTCCCCTCACAAGGAGCTCCACCACATCTCTGTGTTTATACCAAGCTGCCAACATCATCAGTGTCCTGCTCCACCATCCTCTACTGTTGACGTCCGCCACGATCAGAGACAACACCAGCTGCACCGTCCTAACATGTCCACCACGACAGGCCAAGTGAAAGATGTTGTTACCATCATGGTCCAACAGAGATGCGTCGGCTCCTTTCCTCAAAAGTAGCTTCACCACTTGTCTATGTCCCTTCTCTGCCGCCATCAACACCGGCGTCCCCAATTCCATTCTACAGTTGATGTTGGCGTGTCCCGCAGACAGGATCCGTCTCACTGTCGTCTGGTGATGGAGTTGGTGATGGAGTCGCTGCAACACAAAATAAACTCAATCCGAGTTGACACGTGACGAGGACATTGCTACATCATTTAGCTATTCCATCATGGCTGACAACAATATAACATGGAGGGAATGACAACACGTTGTTTCTGTGATTAAAGATGCTGTGTTTAATACTTTCTGTTCAAGTTGTAGCAATAGTTTGTGTTATCCCGGAGAGTTGGAACATTTGTTGACCGTACAACCTGATAATACAATTGTTGTTTGACATAAGTTTGTTTATGATACAATGTTTTGTCTGTTGTTTAACGCTGCACTTAGCATTGTATTTGTCTGGTTCATGGAATCCTGTTACTGACAACATGGACGTTGATCGATACCACTGGTGATACGCATGGTTCTTGGAATCCTGTTACTGACAACATGAACGTTGATCCATACCACTGGTGATATGCATGAGTCTCCGATTGCATTGTGTTAATTGCAGGAAGGAGTAAGGACTGAGCTTCCTGCCTGCTGGGTTCTCCCACCTACCTTGTAGATCAGACTCTTGTGTCGTCACTGGCACTGGTGGAACCGTCTTGCGCGGGCTCGGATCCTGACTCAGTCGAGGCTGAAACAGGGAAAATGTTGTTCAGACAACTATACATATCACGTAAGCGTTATATTTATATGCCATATAAACGTTTTGCCTTTTGACAAATGTGCTTTTTCTACATATATTCACGGATGAATTAGATCCAAATGTATCTCTTATAACAGAATTAAAGTATAATATATAATTTGATACTTTGTTGAGATTGTTGTTTATCTCCCCTGCATGTAGCTGATGCGGCCTTAAGCAACAATCAGTCACTCACCTTCCTGCGTCCCATGACAAATATACCTACATGAACATTAATATATTCACGGATGAATTAGATCCAAATGTATCTCTTATAACAGAGTGAGTGAGTTAATATTTAACGTCACATCTTATAACAGAGAATTAAAGTATAATATACAATTTGATACGTTATTTAGATTGTTGTTTATCTCCCCGGCAGGTAGCTGATGCGGCCTAAAGTAACATTCAGTTACTCACCTTCCCGCGTCCCATGAACATTAACATTATTACACTGAAAGAAAAATCATATGAAATACGTAATGGAAACACAATTATGTGCAGTTATACCTGCTCCATTGGAGCTTATGTCTGCATAAAAGTATTAATAGGAACCTTCAAACATACAGATCAACTACTAAAGATCGTTTTCCCTTGTCTTCTATGTTATTCCTACCCGTGAAGATCCGGGTTAGAATTGGTCTTCAGCAACCCATGCTTGTTGTAAGAAACGACTAACGGGATCGGGTGGTCAGGCTCGCTGACTTGGTTGACACATGTCATGATATCCCAATTCCGTACATCGATACTCTTGCTGTTGATCACTGGAGTGTCTGGCACAGACACGTTTATTTACAGACTGCCCAATATATCTGGAAAATATCTGAGTGCGGCGGCGGACTATCTCGACCGGAGCTGTTCTAGCAAATAGTGCTATACCAGACAGCCAGTTTTAAGAAGAGTCAACTTGATGAAACATATTTGTATTCAGGATCTGATATTATGATGCTGTACTTTACTTTCATAACAAACTATGTTATTCCTTGGTATCTGTGTAGTATTCATGTATTGTTTCGGTGACAATCAATAAATATGTCATTCAATATATTTGACCTGGGAGACATTGCGCCTGGCAGTGTAATTCACGTGAGTGTAAGTAATTTCGTATCAAATTCTGTTTTAAATTGTTAGACAAAGGGCATTGCAGTCTGTCATACAGACTAACGCTTAGTCTCTGAATATATATAAGTTTGATTGTAACAAATAAACCAATTAAAATTGAAAAAGAGCCCCAGGGAGACCAGAGAACCTGAGGAAATCTGGACTTGCCTCATCTATGGCTTTAGCACTGCAGGGAAGGCAACGCTGTAGGGAAAATAATATGGTTCAGTAACTGTGAGACAGACTATCTGTCATACAGACCCTGAAACCAAATATATCCAAGAAAGCCAATGCAAGACTAAATATGTGGAATCAAGTCTCAGGGCTCCTTTTCATTATAATTTTTATTATTATTATTTTTATTAGAACTGTTTTTCTGTACTCATATGCTCATTTTAGAGACAAGTTGTTAGTTGCTCTCAACTTGAACACTTGATGTAGAAAACCCTGAAAATAACAATCTGCGAAATGGTCCGCATCTGGCTGAGCAAATGTGCCTCTCCCCCGGGTATAGACTAACACTAAGTCTCTGAATATGTATAATTTGGTAGAAACAAATAATTCCTTGTAAAGTTGAAAGGGAGGCCCAGGAAGTTGAGACATCCTGGATCTGAGAAACGCTAGACTTGCTTCATTTAGAATTTTTAATTACAAAAAGGGCTGGACTGTTCAGAGACTGTGAGACAGACAAGATCGTCAACGATCTCCCATAAAAGACAAACGACTTGCACATGTCTCTGAGGTAAAAATTAACGGTTTAAATGATAATTCATTCAAAAATGATAAATAAAGATCGGGGTCCTGTACTGTCTGCTTATCTAGACTTGCCTCTTCGAAGCATAGAATTAATATACATCCATGGGTTTAGCATTCAGTACAGTCTCAGAGCAAGGCTAACAGAATACGGGAAGGCTCCAGTGCGTTTAATTATAATACCGGGTTTCACGCAGAAGTGCCAGAACCGCGAGCAGCAGGGAGAGTAAAGTTGCAAGTAGCCTTGCTCCAGGCCTGTACTGAGTGCTGAATCCATGGATTTACAGTTGTTCTATTCTTTAAAGAAGCAAGTCTAGATAAGCGTACAGTACATCTAAGGACTTGACTACTCATTGCCCATGCGCAGATAAATTACAGTCGTTAAAAATAACCTCCATTAATCGGACAATACCAATGATGTAAATGTGTGTTACGTCAATAATGAAAACGACAAGTTATTATCTGCCCTTGTTATTACAGAGCTCTCTCCTTTCCGGGTACTCGAATTCCTAGAAATAGGACTCGATTCCAGCTGTACCCGACCCGGACTCGAGTACCCGAGTACCCGTCCCAGCCCTAGAGAGCGAACCCTATTCTTTTTTCAAATATAAATTAAACTATTATTTATTACATTAGGGACTTGTGCAAGTCTAACTCGCAGGTTCACTCACTGAAAACTATTACTCCCTGACTGTATCTCGGGGGTAACGCTATCCGCTCATCAGAATTCTTGTGTGAGATGAAATGTTTATGCCACGTTCTTTACATCATTAGCTATACATCTGGTGTTTGTCAGACGCGTTAGGTGCATATCTGCTTATTAGTCTGTTTCACAGTAATTCAGCCACATTATTTTCCCTACTACCTAACCTTCCTGCAATGCTAAAGCCCCTAATGAGGTAAGTCTAGATGTGTTTTATGAGCCTTAAGCTATATAAATCTCTGTATTTACCGTTATTTAACTTACGAAGACAACAATAATGGCTTTAAATCTGTCGAGTTGAGCTGCCTAAGAAACACTGAATGTAACTATTACTTAGACATATAGCTTTTCAGCCGGCAGTGTGCCTATTGTTTTAATGCACTGCAACCTCCCCATAATGTGTTTATCCTCGTGTTACGATTATCATCTGAACAGTTGTACATGCCACTGACTGCTAAAAGATTTCAACCACAAAAAATCACCCAGGAGTTTAAAATGTCTATGTGGCGCACGTATGCGTGCATGCATGTCGGTATATGATTTTCTTAGTTTTTTCTTTTTATGTTTTTGATTTTGTGATTTTCACTTTTGCACATATTCTTAGACAAAATGGTGTGTTTGGAACTGATTAAGCGCGAACATGTGTTTTGGCGGTTTCATTTTTAAATTGGTTTCTCGACTTAGCTCTTAAAATATTTGAATACACAGTCTGAACCTGAGGAAATCTAGACTTGCTTTATTTAGGGCTTTAGCACAGCAGAGAGGGCTTGGCAGTAGGGAAATTAATGTGGTTCAGGGACTGTGAGACAGACTACCGCTAGATCTACGTTACACTAAACCAAACATTTTCCCATTGACTTCTACAGTAACGTTAGACTTTTTAAAAAAAATTGACTACGATATGAAAAGCTGTGAGTGAATGAGTGTGTAAGCCGCTTTTAGCAATACTCCAGCAATATCACGGCGGGGACACCAGACATGGGCTTCAGCCAGCTCCTTTTCCGAGTACAGGAAATTAAAAAGATCAACCCCAGTTCCGCACAAAATGTCAACTGCTTGAAAATACCTGTGGTCACATTCAGTATAAGTCATCAGTAAACTGACCGACTGAGTTTGGTTTTACGCCGCTTTTAGCAATATTCCAGCAACATCACGGCGCGGGATACCAGAAATGGGCTTCACGCATTGTACTCATGTGGGGATTCGAACCCGGGTCTTCGGCGTGACGAGCCAACGCTTTAACCACTAGGCTACCCCACCGCCCCCATCAGTAAACAAAGACAGCACTAAATATTTAAACAATTGGTCAGTTTTAATTACTGGATGGAAGTATGAGTGAGTCTGCACTGAAGGTTCGCGACCAAGTGTTTGGACAAAGGGTTGGTGCTCTTCGTTCAACCATATCCATATGCAAAGGCAATTCAATCATTCACCTGCAAAGTTCCTTTTGGGATGTCAAAATAGGAGATTGTATCAAAGCTTGAAATAACTTCCAAATGTCATCATAAAACAGCTTGACATTTTTATTGAAAGTTGTAGCGCTCATCGAAATCTTGGTAAAAAGCGCATATATTTGATTGTACCTGAATAGAAAAGAAGATGCTGGATCTGTTGGAATACATGTATCGATTAAGTGGATCACTCTTGGCATGAACACAGGCAGTTTTCATCAAAATACATGTGTGACGCAGTTGTTTGTTGTGGTTC